CGTTGCGGCGATAATGTTTTGGTACAATTGGACGATCCCTACCTGTAGATGTGTCACAGAGTAAGGTTTCCTTACCTGTCCCCATCTGCTTAATACTTAGTTTTAGAGTTGTCGAGGACAACTCATGTTGAAGATCAATGTCTTCTTTTTGAAGCTGAGCGAGTTTAAGAAGGTCGATTCCTTGGAAACTGTTCAAGGAACTTATTTGAGACAAGGCGTCTGCGACTACATTGTTTGCTCCAGATATGTGTTGTATGTCTGAAGTAAACTGCGAAATGTAGTCGAGTTGTCGAGACTCTCGCGGTGAGTACTTGTCTGAATATGAACTTAAGGAGAAGGTAAGAGGTTTGTGATCGGTAAAAAGCGTGAATTCTCTTCCTTCGATGGAATGTTGGAAATGCCGTACAGCACAATACATAGCTAGGAGTTCCCTACCGAAAGTGCTGTACCTAGATTCCGCGTCTAGCAACCGTCTCGAGAAAAATCCTAAAGGTTGCCACGAGTTGTTAACCCATTGTTGTAAGATTGCTCCGATTTCTGAGTCGGATGCGTCTACGGCGATACTAATGGGCGCTTGAGTGTCCTGATGAGCAAGCAAGGTTGCTTTAGCGATGTGTTCCTTAACTGTGGAGAATGCTTTACGGGCTATGTCGTCTAAACTAATTGATTTCGCATTTCCACGAAGCTGATCGGTTAACGGTTTCATAAGGGATGCGCATTTAGGTATGAACCGTCTATAGAAACTTACAAGTCCGTTGAAAGTTCGCAACTGCTTGATCGTGGTCGGTTCTGGGTAATCCAGAATGGCCGCCACTTTGCTCCTAAGGGGTCGGATGCCTTGAGCATCAATGGTGTGTCCTAGGAAGTCTGAGGAGTTTGTTCCGATTTGGCATTTCTGTATGTTGACAGTAATGCCATGCTTTTGGAGTCGATCGAAAACAATGTCCGGATGCTTGAGATGCGATTCTCTGTCCGGACTTGCTATTAGACAGTCATCAACATACGCATGTACGAAGTTGAGACCTCGAAAGACGTAGTCTATAAACCTTTGGAAGGTTTGAGCAGCGTTTCTTAAACCAAAAGGCATTCGTAGAAATTCATAAAGACCGAAAGGAGTGATGATGGCGGTTTTAGGAATGTCGTCAGGTGCCATCGGGATTTGGTTATAAGCCTTAACCAAGTCGATTTTTGAAAATACAGTTGTACCTGTCAAACTGTATCTGTTAAATCGTGAATATGAGGCAGGGGGTAACGATCGGGAATGGTTTTAGCATTCAGACGCCGATAATCACCAGTTGGCCGCCAATCATTGCTGTCCTTTTTAGGGACCATGTGCAATGGGGATGCCCATGGACTATGCGATGGTCGAATTATCCCTAGGTCCATCATATGGTCGAATTCGTTTTTGGCTAACCTAAGTTTTTCGGGAGCGAGTCGACGGGCTTTCGAGAATACAGGTGGTCCTGTAGTCGAGATGTGATGCGTAACATTGTTGGTTACATAAGGCAATTTCGATTACGATTGGTATATCCCGGAGTATTTGTCGAGTACTGATTGGTACAAGGGGTCTATAGTGTGCTTAATCGTGACTGGGGATAACCTGCAACCAGAACAAGGAGTTACGCTAACAGATAACTTAGTGTTTCCGTCTATTAACCTTCGTGAGCGTGTGTCGATGAGTAGATTGTGGTGTTGTAACAGATCTATACCAATGATTGGCATAGAGACATCTGTAACTACGAAAATCCAGTGTATGGGTTTGCGTAAACCCACGTTAAGGTAGACGTACCTTTTACCGTAAGTAGCGATCGGCTTTTCGTTTGCCGCCTGTAAACTTAGGAATTCGCTGGAAGAACGCTAACTTCTGCGCCAGTGTCGACGAGGTAGCGAACTTTCTTAGTCACATCCGTGACATATAAGAGGCGGCTGTGTTCGCCGGCTACGGTTGCCGTTAACGCGTACCGGCTCGGAAGTTTCCCGAACTGTTTTTCGTGTCACTCGATTTTGGGGTCGGATAATTGCAGGGCTTCCTGCAATTTCTAGAGGATTTACCGTACTGGTTGTGATATCAGCACCAGTCAGGGTTGTCTGTCTCTCGTGGTCGAGAGCCAGATCGCTTACGTGAAACGCTTCTACGCGGGGTTTTTGACCGACTACGGTCATTACGAACTCTAAGATATCTTGTAAGCGTGTGACATAGTTCGGTTATGTTTTATTGATTTCCAAGATTCGATCGGCAGATGCAGCTAGTTCATCTATGGCATTGTTTTGAAATGAAACAAGCACTGCCTGCACCTGTTGAGGGAGTTTAGACAAGAAAAGTTGTCTAAATAGGCCATCATCAAAAGTTCGTTGGCCGATGACTTCTCTCATTCTAAGCAACATGTCCGTCGCAGAACCATGTTGCAAGTCGATATTGTTAAGGAGTTGGTCTAACCGTTGTCGATCAGTTAGGTCTCCTCGTTTTAAAATCGATAGCTTAAGCGATTCGTAAGGTTCGGAAGCATCACTAGTAAACATACTAGGTGTTACGTACCTGTTAAACTAGCGCGGTAACGCCTTAACTACCGCGAGGAAACGTGTGTGCGAGTCCGTGATTCCGTGCATGCAAAAATCGGCTTCTGCATAGCAGAACCAAGACTCGATATTGTCGGGCCAATATGGCGTTAACTGAATCGAAATAGGGGGAATAGACTTAAACTTAAGAACCTTAGGAGAGTGTTCCGTCATAGTAATATAGATAACGAAAAGTGTCTAATTAAAATATATCCGAGAAAAAAAATTCGCGAAAAAAGTATATCACAATATATAAAATTCAAATGAAGAATGACAATGAATCATAATATTCCAAAATGGAACAGACTCACAGTATATTGGCTTGGTGTACCAGATCACGTCGGTCTCACCACTGAGGATACCACGGATATTCTAGTTTGGCAACTAGCAACCAGTAGTATCTTCTACAATCGTTCTTTCCCAGTCGAATAGAAACCAGAAGTCAGACGAGGAGAGGTAGGAAAGATATATTTGATACGTTACCAATATATCGAGGAACCTTTACTATAAGCTGGCTAATGAACGTAGGAGCGTGTCCTACGCCGTGTTGAAACGTGATCTTGTGCGTATGCATGACTGAAAGTCTTCAGCTAAACAAGTCCACTTAAACAACGTGGTCAGCATCCAATGTCGGACACTTAATGAGCTATTAATTTTGGGAAATTATTTACAGCTACACCTGAATATATGACATCCAATCTTAAAGACACGGATTTTAAACCATACCACCTAAAACCGATGAACAGTATCGCTAAGTCCTTTTTAAGTATTTTGTACACAAGTCTATCTGGTGAACATGCTGCATTAATCAGATTCAATTATACCCGTTAAATTTGGGGTTCCAAAACTGTCAACAATCTTAAGCTTTTTTCTAGTGATTCTTCATGATCCTCAAAGCCATGTCTTGATCTTCCTCTCTATTGTTCTACACTATTTTAACTGCATTTTATTTAGGAACTGGGGGTCTTAGTGTCAGCGAAGTTTCTCAGTACAGGGCAAAGGTTGAGCAATAAATAAAAGAACTTTGTTAGTTACTTTAAAACATAAAATTCGATTGATACACTGGCATCAATGTAAGGATAAGAAATTTACTGAACCAGATTTCAAGGAGAGTAATCAGGACCCTTGGTTTCATTACAACCCCTATCGCAGCCTCTAGGCGTACTAGTGCATCACTAAATATCACAGTGTATAAATTAACTTGGACGAAACTTCAAACGACTATACGAGTTGAACAATTAGTATAACATTAAAGTGACCAGTCAGATATAGTCTCGCTAAAGAACGTTAGTTTTAGTTAACCGGGTAATTTATTTAAATTCAGCCATGAGAGTTAAGTAGTCTTCGTGTTAAAGAGTTATGACACCTCATTGTTAAAGCTGAGGGAAGGACGATGAGATGCTGCTGAATATGTTAAGCTATCAAAAGTGTTTACCAACGGCTAGCTCATTGAGCTTAAACTTTTGACTGGCTACGTCTGTTAGTCATCTCAATCCTAAAGGATGTAGAGTAAGTGGTGCCGGCAAATAAATCCCCGAAACAAATAGTCCTGTAAATCTTCGACGTTGATCGCATTAGTTTAGCTGGACTCACATATTAGAAGAAGCTGATGAGTGAGGAAATACATTCAGTTGGCGAGATGTAGTTGAAGTTGAGAATTCCGAAATGGTTAGTTGAAGGATGAGTAAAGTCTCATTCCAGATCAGGCACTGATTTGATGATAATACTTGGATGAGAGCATCTAGGTAGTAATGTCTGTTAAAGCTAACAAAATCAATATCCATGACAAGTGTTTGTGAAAATTTATTTTGATAAGTTATTTACTACTACGAATTTGTTTCTCAAAGTTATTGAGAGATCATGATTGTAATCAGTACCTCAACATTCTTAAGTTAAAACGGGAAATCCCTCTTGTTATATTTATAAGGCTCGTTGTGAAGTCTTCTGTCTTTTCGAAACTAACTAGGCACCTTCAGAGCAGTTCGTATTGTCTAAAACCTCCATCATCTATTCTTATTACCAGAAAACATACCTGGGGTTAAATCTTGGGAAGAAAACATAAATAAGGATAAACAAAATCACTAGAGAATTTCCTCAACTCCATCGGATATCTGGAACCGACGTTGGAGTAAATCCGTAGGGAAGACGAGAATAGGAGATTAGCTTGACACACGTCTGACCAGCTACAGTTGCTGCACCACGAATATTGATCGAATTAATCCAATCCGTTAATTTCACATAAAATTTCTTTCTTTCAGATTTTCAGAAAATGAAACAAAGGTTGAACTTTTCATGCAGAACATCTTCTGTAATCCAGACACATTCCATAAAGCTCACAGGTCAGTAATTTTGCTCAACAGAGTTATAAATTCTAATTGGATATTGAGCGACAAGTATTTTTAATTTACCAATGATGTTGTTTAACGTGGTGCGGCTTCAGGGTTATTCAATCAAGTATGTTAGTCAGTTAGTAGTCTCAAGGAAGTATTTAAGTGGCTTTTATTTTTAGAATACCTGACATAAGAAGTCAATAACTTATATACGCATAAAACAGACTACACAGCATGAATAATCCTGAAATGCCGTATTTCCCTAAGGGAAATTACTCTGGAAATTCAATACCAAATACCGACTGGAATGATTTCTCGCATAAAAGCCCACTCAAGCAACAGCATTTGTTTAACAGTAATGAAGGTCTTTCATGTACCCCACAAGTAAGTATTAACTTAATTGATGGTGTTTCGATAAAGTCAGCCTTCCACAATCCAAGTATCCCTTAACGACTAAATAATTCAAAACTTCTAGATAACCTTGTTTTTTATAGCCATCGTGCCACTTTTTGTCCGTAAAATGCGGTTGACGTTCCGCGTATCCGTTGATTAAGCACAAAATACGAATTATGAACATTCAAACTACCAAGAGTGCTTTTGTTACATAGTAGTTTTTCTTTATGTAACCAGAATCTTCCACATGTACTGACGCTTCTGATATTCCCGGCGAAATATACATATTTTCTCTTCATAGTTGGGTAATTTTTTATAGGTTGACCGTAAGGGCGCAAACCACCATATCGTTTTAGACGGTGACAGCGCCACTTTGCATTAGGATCTAAAGGGACTGGTGAGTATTCAGTGTCATTCTAATTAGGTACTTACAAAATTTCGTTTTTGTCTCGGGAGCCTGACCTACCTCAACTACCTGGGTGTTGTGATCACATACCCTCCAGTATTATCTGATAGTAGTCTTCAATCGCAGCAGATGTGCGGTTCGAGTACCACTGGGTTCATTTTATTTCACTCAAATTATTTCTTTGCGACTAATCCAAGAAAGCTGGGTGCTCATCGTCCTTTAATTAAGTCGAGATTTTAAACAGAAAAGTGATTTGATTTGTATCGTCGCATTCCGTTTTCATCCAGGTCATTTAACGTTCACAACCACTAAACTAGGACTGTCTGGATAGTTTATACTCTATGTGATGCAAAATGACAAGCTATAAATTAATGCCCCGGTGTCACTCAACCTAGTTTTCTTTGAATCAGCTTCATACACAGGACTAGACTTATTAGGGATATGTTATGCTGTCCAGCTATCCAAGTCTGTACGAGCTAGCAACTTCGATTGGCATTCCTCCCATGGCGCTCCGTCATTCTTTATTTTGTACTTCCGTTAGACGCCAACATCCGGTAAAGTAGCGACCGGATACCTATGGCCACGTATTTTTTACTCTTCATGACTAGATGTATTTCAGAGCAAACTGGTATAGTTTGTCCGTCCAACTAATCAGTTTGATAAAAGCTGGATGAACCTATTTTCTATTTTGCTGACTAACGATTCGTCATCTTTGTTAAGAGCTCAGAGACAAGCATAGTGACTTGCATGTAATAACTGAGATCTAAGATCATACGTAAAGTGAATGAGGTTGAAAAAAGTCTGAGGCTCAAGGCGGATTATCGTCGAAATTATTTTGATCAGAATGAATTTCATTTATCATCAAATCTTATAATTCCTTCTCTGTAGAAAAATGCCAGCTGACTGTTCAAGTACTTTAAGACGTTTATTACTAACTAACTAGAAATTTTCATGCGTCATTTTTTTCGTAATCTGTGTTTCTCCATTAAAACCCTTTGGTTTCAGTAATGTATTCTATCAGTTTGTGTTCCTGAGTGAAAATGCATGTCTACAAGCCTGCTTAGAATATCTAGGTTGTTAGTATTACTTGGCTTCTAAAATCTTAATAGATGGAGCATTGTTTGAAATTGCAGCCTAGTTGTTGGAAGACAAGCGTTTCAAACATTAAACTGACGTTTCACTACTCGTCACTAATACTTTGCCGTTTTTTGTACTCCTTGTAATAAAATGCTCAGGTGGGAATTATGACAATTTATCCTCGTCTTAGGTGTGGCTAATAGTGTAAAGTTTTCAGAATAAAGCTTAACCTAAAAACCATGAGCATCCTTGTAAGCACATCGATCGTGCGGACTGATGAGTCACTATTTCTTGTTATTTGACAGTTTTTGTTTCCTGGTCCTTTGCAAACGAGCATAGTATTTGTCTGTTGAAACCATCTCAAATTCGTTCGTTGATATAATGCATATATTAAGTATAAATTCCTGTACTGAGTGTTGAGGCTCACAAGATATATAGTGACTATTAACACTAGTTGGCTATCCAATCTGTGCTAACTGGATCGGATTTAATATTATCACGTTCCCACTTCATAAAATCTTACTTCTGTATTTAGGGCAAGTATTTGGTCATTTCTAACTCTAAACGATTCTTTACTTGTGTATTTTAGGCTAATAGGGTATTAACACAATCAACAACAGATCCTTATCAGTATCCAGCTTATCCTAATACTCTTAATTGCGTGGAAGGACGTAGTTCAAACGAATCTTTCCAGAATTCCATACCATCATCTGGGTTATTCACTATTCCTTCAGGAACTCAAAATCAACTGAATTACTCGGTTCCACAGCTTGTATCAGCACCTCCACCTGATTATGGTATAAATGGTCCATCTGCTACTACCAATAATACGAATTTAGCGTACATACCTACCACTAGGCCTACATCAGAAGGTAACATGTTTTGTTATATTTAACATATTAGATATATTTAAACCTCTTTATTTACTTTAAAATGTGCCATTAACGTTCGTTGACCTAAGATAGATCTTATTGCCTCCCATACGATGCTGTTTATAAGAGAATGGAAACAGACTATCTTGAAGAATCACATTTTTGCACTAATTTCAGCATATAGTGTAAAATATATTCATAACTCCAAAATAAACTAGGTTTATATAGTAGAATAAGTAGTTGATCAAATGTGTGGAGATTTGTGAAGATTTGTCGCGCAAGTGGATGCTTATGATAAACTATTTGTTAAGTTTGCTTGTGTTGAAATTTAAATGTTATTTTAAGCAGAAGTGTTTATACGTGTGACACCTAACTCATATATTGGATCATATAAGGTTATATTCACTTAATTGCTTTGGTTCCAAGCAGGTTGGTAATATAATCAAGTGTCACACTCGAATGTGGTCCGTAGTCCATTATTTGGTTTGTTTTGTTTGTTGAGCTGTATTGACATTTTGAGATTAATGAATTGTTTTGTTGTTCAGGTCAGTTAAATGTATAAAAGCAATCGTTTTTTTTCATTTCTCCAACTGAATCATTCATTAAACATCCATACAGATAGTAAAACTTACTCGATTTCATCCAATCAATAATTATCATTTAGTACTTTATTTCACGTTTTTTTGTATTACAGGTTTTCTTCATCCGCCTCGGTCGCATGAAATAAATTCACATTCTCAGTCTTTTCCAACCACAAATACTGTTTCCAGTTCATCTACTCAACTAAATAGTCTATATTCACCCTTTCATGCAAATGCCTACCCGAATTTTAACTCATCTAATCAATACAATCCGTCGGTTTATAGTCCCCTACATTCACCTACTATAGAAAATAATCAGGTCTATACTTCGCAAGGTAATTCCAATTCTGTGTGTGACTACACTGGTTATTCTCAGTCTTCAAACTTAGAGTGTCGTTCATCTGTCCCGTTTAATTCAGGTGGTCACCCCACATCGGAGTTTACCAATATGCAAGCAGTTCCTCAAGTTTACGGTGAGCAACAACAACATTCATCCCTTAATTCTCAATTTGACAAACCTAGTCCCATATTGCCCCCAAATCCAAGAACACTTACTCCTGGACAGAATGCACTACCTTTCACAACAGCTTATGATATGGATCCATCTGTTAAGTCGCCTAGTCTCTATCCACCACGTGTCACGAATGAGGCGCATGCAGTTCCAAATTCTGTCGGATCATATGGAATGGCTGCACCATTGCCTCCAGTTCCCATGATGACTAATAATGCAACATATCAAAACCACCCGCAACCACCTCTTCCAAGACCTGGAAATACGCTACCGTCTACCATACCTCGACATACAGCTTATGAACAATCTGGTGTTTTTCGAACACCAGGGACTGCAGCGTCTATATCTGACTGGAGCAGTTTAAAAACACCGATCAACCTTCTTCAAGAACGTTGTTTGTTACCATCAGATGGACCCGATCTACCACCCAAACCTGCATTGACTACTCCAGTAAGCAAAGTATTTTTTTATCGGAGAGTGACTAATCGTAAGTGGTTATCAGTAGAAATCCTTGGAGATTGTAGTTGGTGAATATAGTAACTTCATTGTTAATTATTAAAATGATATTACTTGTTGAGTATTTGATGTGCGTAGACAAATACTTGGGCAGATAGTTGATTGGTGATCATCAAACGATTATCGAGATTAGACTCTTAACCACTGTATCACTGTTCGTCTATGTATCTTTTTTTAATCGGAATAGGGTTCAGCACTTGCATTTGTTTTATTTAGATGGTTTGTATATAGGATTGGACATCCTTGTCATCCTATTAATTACTTCATTTAGTCTGTTTGATATTTAGATGCCTGATATTGTGTGGAGTAATCTAAATAGCGCCTACAGTTTCCCTTATCGGAGTGCTGTTTTATGAGATATGACTGTGGATTTGTTGCTACGCTTAGTCACCTCATCAGGAACGACATTTTTGTGTGATCTCCTGTGTACACTTATTTTCTTGGTCTTAATGGAACTAGGTTTTTAACGTCTTGATAGAAATCTGAAAAATGCACTAAATAGTTAGTGTTACATAACGTCTTTGTAAATATATGGTCACTTGTAAAGTCGAATACTGTTATCTTTTTTATTTATTTATTTAAACACATAAATATTGGTACAAGAAAGCACCAGATAAATATGCGCCTCACAAATCTCATTCGATTTGTGTGAGGGCTGTGATACTGCCCAGGTGCCCAGACTGAAGCAGGTGGTTTTCTTAGGAGGCCACACCCGGAGCCTTTGACCTAAAGGTCTAGTCCACAAGGCAGTGGAGCATCGTAAGGAGATGCAGTCTCATGGTAGCCGGTGACCAACAGTTGGTTCATGTGCCATTCGTTCCTTCAGGATCCTGGAGCTCATGTGCGCCTTTGGTTTGGAATCAGGGATTTCCAACTCCCCTAGGTGGATCCTCCACATCCACCAACCCTGTTAAAGCGCCGGACATTCGCTTTTCGTCCTCTCACTTTTGTGAACAGCACCTCCGCCACGAGAAGGCAGTGAGTAGGACTTCCCTGGCAGAGGTTATATACTCGCGTGGCCATATGAGAGCATTTCGAGAGGGAGAGCAGACTCCCCACTCTCGGCCGTACCAGGGCACTTGGGGGCATACTGTAATCTATTCTTCTGTGAAGATCCAAATGTGTGTGAATCTTTGTTACGGTCACGCGTTGCTGTGGCTAGTCCCACCTTGATACCAATGTGGTTTTCAAACAATGGATTCAAATTATTTTCGCTGGATACTATTTTATAGTCGTTTTCTGAAAAACTGTAAACCCAACTTGCGTTATATTACGGTTATGTTTAGTAGTTATGCATATCATTTTGTGTATATGTGTTATAAATCTTCTCACCATCCTCAGCCCAGTTCATTTTAGTGTTATTTTTAGACCGTCTGATTAATTTTACGTATTTAGTTTATCAAAACTCACCATTATTTATAGGTTTTACAGTACTTCATTTATGCTTTTGATTTGTTTTGATTTTTCAGATTAATTGTGATCAAGACGTAATGCGATGTACTTTAACAAATGTACCATCAACTTCGAAACTTTTGACTCAGTGTCGTTTACCTCTTGGTCTTGTTATGCATCCGTTTCGAGATATGAGTAGTCTGCACACTATTAGTTCAACCACCATAGTACGTTGTCGATCTTGTCGTACTTATATCAACCCGTTCGTACAGTTTATGGATTCCGGTCGACGCTGGAGATGTAGTGTTTGCTTTCTGGCTAATACTATCCCAGATGAATTTTACTATGACCCTGGAACTCAGACTTATGGTGATCCTTCTAGAAGACCTGAAATTCGTTCTGCTACTGTAGAATTCATTGCACCTTCAGAATATACAGTTCGCCCTCCTCAACCAGCTACTTACCTTTTCTGTTTTGATGTTAGTCATAACGCAATTGCCACTGGTTATTTACAGCTTGCCTGCAAACGTTTAGAAGCGTTGATTGATCGGATCCCAGGTGACTGCAGACGTCAGATAGCCTTTATGACCTTTAATTCTAGTGTTCACTATTACAAACTTTGTGGTAAGTTTTATCAACATTATTTTAACATATATATGCTTTCCTTAGATCAAATGACCCTGCTACTTTTATCTATATCTGCTTGTTATTTTAATAAAATATATTTTGCAGGTTAAAGTAACCAAACTTAATCAAATGATTGGTGATGTGGTCAATTGATTGCCAATAAATCGTGAGTGACTAGTGATGGCTTAAGTGATGTAAGTTTGAAACTAACACGAGTTAGTGAGGAAGCCAGAGAAGCTTTCAAGTCGTGTTATCCAGCAAAGCATTGCTCATGTATAATGAAGCCACTTAATCCGCAAAATGAGCGTTAGGTGAAAGTCTCTAGGCGCAAAATATGAGTCGATCGACTAGGTAAGCCTGTGCCAAATTGGTTGGTTTGACCATGTTTTACACACGCCAGATCAGCTTACTCCTCTATGTATTGTCAGTTTAAGGGGAATTAGAGCGAGGAACTATTGGCTAACTAAACGAAAACAAGTCATTGTTAAATGACGTCACTGATCATTGTTTCGTATCGTGTATTGAATAGAATTTCTAGACAAGGTTATATAAGTAGTGAAAATTAGTGATCGGGATCAGTAAATAAAAAAACTCGAAATCGATCGCAATAGCACAGATACATTCATTCTTTGTTTTTAAATTTTAAACATTTCATTACTCATAATTTATTTTATTTGCTTGACTAATGTTTCCCAAGCACTTTTTTACTTTCAATCTTTTTGTATAACGAAGTTAAGCCAACCGTACTGATGAATTATTTTACTTGCTCCTGTGATGATGCTTCTCTGTCTATTTAATAATGTACTTCGTTCAAGCCCTTGTTCTAGTTGCCTTTTGACAGTCATATCTCTTCCCATATCGCTTACATTCTGTTTCATTTGGACTACAATAAACATAGATTTACTAATGAACCAGATTCTATACAGTTCCATCCAAATAATTATTTTGTGTTAACCGATTGTAATAAAATTTACTACCAGTCATTAAGTTTAGTCCTTTATTTGGTTGAATTATTTAACTTCTGTTCACTTTTGATTATTATAGGGGAAACTATGAAAATGTTGATTTGTCCTGATTTAGAGGAAATATTTCTACCTGATGATGAAGGTTTGATTAATAGAGTTGAAGATTCAGGTGATTCATTACGCGATTTTCTTCTGCATTTACCTGAAAATTTTGTCGGTACAAATGACACCGGAAATTGTCTTGGATCTGCTTTACAGGTAATTTTGTTATTAATGTGAAATATACTTTAGCAACTTAATTTACTAGTTATTGGACGTTTTACTGGTACAGAAGCAGTGACTAGGTAGTTAAAAGACTCGGTTTTCAACCAGTAGATCGCGCATTTAAACCTATTTTTACCTGCTTCAGTTTGAGCTGTCAGGTAATATCACTGAGCTTTGTGCAAATAATCCAGTTCACAAATTTGTTTTTGGTAACCGATTTCTTTCGGATATCCCAATTCTTCAAGTTTTCCCTTATTCTAGACAATAGGTACATTTTTAAAACAAAGTAAATGGATAGCCCTTAGTCACTTTTACAATCAGTCAGCCAGACAATGTTTTTTCCTACTAATAGTTCATGAAAAATGTTCGTAACAATAAAAAGGGCAATTATTCTTGCTTGTAATACATTTTATGGTAGACTTTACCAAACATAACGTTGAGGTCCATTTTTTTAGTGGAAGAAATTGAAGTTAAAATTTCATCACTTAAAGAGAAATTTTATAGTGTTCAACCATGTTCTAATTTGGGGACTTGTCGAGTCAAGTAATACCGAAGAATACCAAGTAATAAGAGTAGCTTGGTCTTACGAAAAGAATTCATAAGTCTGGTATTTTGTAGATTTTGCTCATATTGATCATTTTAGTATTTTATAATAACCAATAAAATTGTAATTAAATTTATTTCATTAGAAATATGGTGGAGAAGATTTGTAGCTCAGGTGGATGAAATATCAAAATTATTAATCTATAAAAAGTAGCCAAGCACTTGTTATAGTGTATTGTGTTTTAAACAGCACCAAAATCTATTCACCTGACTACGAAATCTGTGTTGATAACGTCAATCGACTTCAAATATGATAATACCTAAATAAAAATTAAAGTTATTGGATTCTGGCTTAGCTATCCTAGAGATCAAATGCTTGTTCTATTGTTGGTACTAGCGTAGTATTACAATTCAAAATAATACTTCAACCGTCTTCTAACATTACAAGCAGTAACTAGAAAACCGGTCTTTTACAACCAAACTTTTATTATTTACCAAAGATGCAAATATTGTATAGTTTTCAAATAACCAGCTTCCGTGTCGAAAGTGTCCTTACTGTTCCAGATGAAGCATAGTTGCACAAACTCTGTTTAGCGTTAATTACACATCAAATGGTTGCTATTAAGCAATAGGCTTGTTGATAATCATTTGTGTTCACACCACTGGACTTGCGTCGCTATCATTCATCGTCGTTATTATTGAATGGTCATGTTTTGATAATTTTGTATTCACTTCCTTATCCCGGCCGTCCTTAAAGTGTTTAGCTTGAAATAATATTTGGTTTAATTTCGAGTGGCTTTATTACTAATAACAAATATCGAAGTTATTAAACTGGACCTAAAATATTTTGTTGAATTTTTGATTACTTGCTTTCAGGCTGCTCTGAAGCTGATTGGTGCAGTAGGTGGCCGGATAACCGTATTCACTACTTGTCTGCCAACAGTTGGTTCAGGTGCTCTCAGTTTGCGAGAAGAACCTTGCGATCGGAGTTCAGTCGACGTGAAGCACTTGGGCCCATCAACTGACTTCTATAAAACATATGCTTTGGATTGTTCACATAAGCAGGTATGCATATTTGCATGATATTTAATAAAGATATATGTTTAACATGGTTCACCCTCATTTTCGGTTTATTACACCTCTTTTATCTATGCATCTACTTTAAACTATTATATGCGCGAACTGAAGGACTGTCTTCTACATCGAATTTGACAGTATCGTTGATTCACTACATAATAGATTTAACATATTATGTGGTAGTTTGAAGTACATAAGTCCTTATTAGTTGACAAATATTCCACGGTTATTGTGATTCTGACCCCCCAGTGATGAAAACTTTTCGGTGTGATTATAAAAATTTAAAAATAAGTGATTGGTTAACTTGTCTTCGTGTGTGCATATGTGCTAATGGAAAAACACTTTGCTACCTGTAGTAATTTGTTAATTGGCCGTTGATATGCTTGTTTCTATCACAAGTTCAATTTACTCGGTAAACGGAACGAAGGTCAAGACAGTGGCACAAGAGGCTATTCATATCCGTTGTCTCTGGCCCCACTAACTGAGTGAGAAGTCCAAGTTGTGGGGAAGATATATTCCGTAAGCAGCCAGAAGCGCATGCAATCACAGCAGGAAGAAATCAAACGTATATATACAGCATAAAACTGTCCTTGGGAAACCTTACAAAATAGCATACTAAAAGATACAACGTACCAATAGAGTTTAAGATTTTCAGTCAGTCAGTCAGCTACAACTTAGGACCAGGCACATATATGCATCGGTCCAAGTTGCCATACTTCGTTAGCACAACAAGATGAACACCGGATTCATAGAAGTAGTTAGTTTAGTGGCGGTAATATATAAAAGATAGGTTGTATATAAGGATATAATACAGGAAGAAAGAAAGTTATGAAGCAATTTTAATCTCAAGGTTTAAGGGAAGATAAAGAGTGTTTACACCTACGCCATTGTGATCGATTCTGAGCCATGTCACCTAGAGTCTCCAACCATTGGTTGCGATAGTCACGCGGACCCCAACCAGGTAGTCTGCATTTACCAACATGGCTCAGACTAGAAGTTAGTGACTTCAAGCACTGATGCCATGTTTTGGTTTGGTCGCCCCTAACTCTCTTCCAACCATCCCCTACACTAGTCAACATTGCGCGTCGTGGTAATCGGTGTTCAGGTGTACGTAACACGTGGCCCAACCATCTCAGTCGATGAAGATTCATGACCTCATCAACTGATTTACCATCATTCCCTAATACCCTGCGTCTAACCTCACTATTACTTACCCGGTGCGAGCAATATTTCTAAGGCATCTGTGGTCAAATACTAGTAACCTACGAGTATCTTCTCTTAATGGTCATGTTTCGTAGCCGTAAAGTAGAACAGAGCGAACTGCTGCGCAGTATACTCGTCCCTTAATTGACAGACGGATATCTTGCCTTCGCCATAGGTGACGTAAGTTGGAAAAAGCCAAATGAGCTTTTTGAATCCGTGCTGAGATTTCGTCAGACACCAACTCATTAGGGCTGATCAGACTTCCAAGATAAGTGAAGTTGTCGACGCGTTCGACTACTTCACTCCCTATCTTTAGTTCGGGTGTTGACGCAGGCCAGTCCTGGAGCAACAATTTACATTTGGATGTGGGAGAAACGCATCCCAAACATCCTGGCATTATTACTCAGTTCCAACAGAAGACTCTGCATTTTGTCAGCGTCTTCACCAAACAGGACTATGTCATCTGCGTATTCTAAGTCGCTTAGTGGTCCCCCTGGTAGGAGATCACTTCCTGAAAATTCAGTCGAAGAGAGTGTTATTTCCAGCATTAGGTCTATAATGAAGTTAAACAAAAATGGGGATAGTGGACAGCCTTGTCGGACACCACTTGAGGTTGTAAAATCATATGACAGTTCGCCATAAGCTCTCACTCGACTGGTAGTGTTCGAGTAAGATTTTCCCGAGTGAGAAATACAACACAAAGGTGGAAAAAGCACCTTTGGCGCGAAAACAAAGAAATTCAAATTTTCAAAATAAAATTACAAAAATAAGTCATTTACCAAGTGAATTCTGGAGACCTAACATCCCCAACAACCGTAAATTGTGCAACTTTGTAATCTGATTAGCTCAAATCATAGTGAGATAAAGTAGTTTGATTGGATGCTAAAATTTGCATTTTGACATTAGAATTTTATTTTTAAAAAAATTCTGTCACACTGTCCCATCCGCGTTTTGATTAAAAATTGCAACTTCTGAAAAAAGACACACATGTATGTAACAGCGTAAATCAGTTATTGTGCTTGGGAATTATAAGGATAGGTTTATTTTCTGTAATTTCAATAGCAAATGTTTTGTAAGCATGCAGTCAGACGAAATCATTATCTTAATTTTTCAATTCAATTCCTTCATGAAAATGCAAACGTTTTTAATATTTGAAGTATGAAAAATTAAAGTTGGCTAATTCATTACTATCCACTTTATACCATTCAGTTTATCGCAAAGTAACTTAATCAACATATTAGCGACACGTGCTAAACTTTACAATTTCTCATTAATCACTTCAGAAATCATTTTTTGAATGCTTTGATCTATTTGTTAAACATATTAGAGGGACACCGACAAATTCTATGTGCTAATTACCAATTTAGGAATATTTTAATACCAAACCCAAAGCAGCTAAACGTTTGAATAGCAACTATCTTTGACAAGTAATTAAAATATAGGTAGTATTAAATGCTAATAAACAGGCTTAAGTCTAACATATTAATTTCTTTAGTCGATTAAACTGCTAAATGCGAACGAGGTTAACTATATAAATTGAAATTTAGCTGTACCAAAGTTTAATTTCGATATAACAACTAAAAGCTAAAAAATATTGAAAATGTGTTATCGAAGTTTGCGTGTATTATTATGAAACAGATAAAGAGTATGATGCTTATTTCTTTTAATTCACTGTTAACATAACGACACATACTCAGACAACAGATAGTGTTTATCGATCAGTGCTGATACAAATTACCCTTAACGCAGATAATAAAGGTTTTTAAGTATGCGGCTAAACGTATTCTTATATCTTCATGTGTGAAAAACACATGGCTTAGTGCATGTTGTACATGTTCATGTATACGATGAAAAAAGGCGTACTATTGGATGACTGTTTTTATTTTGCACCTTCAGTGAAACGGATATGATGCACATGTACCGATAATCATGTCCAAATAATACTGTATTGCGTGCACGGAAAGACTGTAATAATCTCGTCAAGCATTTAAGTGCATTTTCATTATTTTGAGTCAGTACGATTTCATATATGTCACATAGCCCGTTGGCGTAAACGTCCTCGTATATGTTCCGAGTTTATAAAAACAAATTATCTTCATGACTTAGTGTTGCATCCAAATCCACGTCCATTCGATAATTGATATTTTTCCAGTTGGATTCCTGGCATTTCTTCATCCATAAAAATAGAGGCTTTGATATGAAGCTTAGGTGTTGAGGATAACGTCAACAGTGTTTGAGGCATCTTTTTGATGCTTATGGAGATGAGAATCACGAACTTCTTAATGGAACTATATCTCCCTTTCCTAATTTCTGATTGCGATTGGAACGCTCAAAACAATACATCTAGTACTTTCTAAGTCACATACGTTCGTAGTTTGGAGACAAGGTGATCATTTGAAAGAGTATTTACGCTTTATATCACTTTTCAGAAAATAACCAATAATTACCATTTTAAAACTAATCATTTCATTGGACAAAACGGGATGAAGTTTTTTTAAACAAAACAAAATACAAAAATAACCGTGCGATAAATGATATTCGTCTTTATGTAATAATTCCATGAAAACCAGATGAATAATTATATAGTAAAATAAATAAGATTATTCAAATATTGCAAAAGAAATCAACTATTCTCTCAATAATTGTTAGAGATAATAATTATAAAGTTTAATCCACTAGATATTTATTATGTCGTACTGAAACTTGTCCGTATCGTATATTCCTTTATTTTTGCGATTCTAGGTAGGAGTTGATATGTTTATTTTCAATTCTCAATATTGTGACATTGCCACAATATCTGGAGCTAGTCGATTTTCAAGTGGAACAGTTCATCATTATCCAGACTTTTATTATACACCAGATGAGGATGAACATATGTTACACGCTGATGGTAAAATTAATGTTACGTCAGATGATTGTAATAAACAACAAAAAAGTGTATGCATTGGAGTGGAACAATTTCGTCGAGATTTCGACCGGTATTTAACCAGAAAACTTGGCTTTGAAGCTGTTATGCGTATTCGATGTACTCAAGGTTTAGCCATTCAGGTTTGTATTATTATTTAATAGTTTAAAATCATTTTCTGTATATTATTATATTGTCAGTATGTGGTGTATGCTACTTATGTTGACAAATACAAGTAATATCAACCAGAAGGGAAATGTCTGGCAGCAGAAAATTGAGATCTAATTGTAAACAACAGGAATGAAGGAACGATGAAGTTTGTTAAAGACAACTGATGGAAGATGCGCAAAGGATGTATTTAATGTATTGGTGTCGTATTTTACGAAGACCTTCCGTAATTTTGTATTAAACAATAAATTGGATATCCCCACCAGCTCTTCGTTCACTACAAGCATACTACTTTTAGTTTATCCTTATTTTTATACAGCTTATTTGGTACTTCTCGTATAATGTTGAAAAAAACGTTAAAAGAATTTGTAAACAATAAACACGTAGAATAGTGAAGGTGAAAATCAGTCTGATTATTGTGTTTTTAACTAGTTACTTAAAATACAGGAAAACCATTCTTATTAATGAAAGTAAAAGAGATAGTGGCAGTCAGCATGCAGAGTTGGTTAGGTTTTTCAGGTGTGCGTTCCTCATAGCTCTCATCATTAACGCTTCGGTTACATTTCGAAAGTATGTGTGATTTAGTGGCTTCATATCCAGATGAATGAATCTTTGCGATATCTCTGTTCCTCTCTTGATTTAGATAGATAAATTGGAGACTTTATATTTCCTCTCAAACTCATATCATTTTCCAAACATTTTGCAATCAGTCTATTTCCACTACTTTGCTGTCTAAAAAGCAATCAGGAAATATATGTTAGCATGTTCATTTCCTTATGTAATGTAAAATACCAACCTTTTTCATTATATTAATTCTTTCTTTCACCATAGACTTTCCATGGTTCATGTTTTGTTCGTTCTACGGACTTGATTGCTTTACCAAATGTGAGCCCTGATTCTGGTTATGCTGTCCAGTTAGATATATCTGAAAGCTTAGAAAAATGTGCTACAGTCTGTTGCCAGGTTAGTTAATCATATAATTTTTAAATTGTTTTATTATGGTTATTTCTTATGGTTTGTCTACTGAAAAACAAATTAATATTGTCTTGTAATTCTTAGAAGTTATTTTATTATGAATGAAAATGCGTCATTCCTACGTGAATAACTTCCAATTCTAAGTTTGTGAAATCTGTTATCACAGTGTATGTTAACTATTTTCTTCATTAATTAATCTTGGTTTTCCAACTATATAAGCTGATAGGATAGTTCATTTGTGTCAATCTCGTCCGTTGTCACTGTGTGTATACGTATATACTTTTTATTTTTTATATCTAATGTGTGTCTGGCGTTATGGTGCATCGCTTATTTTTTTGGTTTTTCACTGTCTTACCATTTTATGGAATAGGTTATTCTGTATACTATTCATAATTTTAATAGTTGAAATCATGAATCTATTGAAGCTAGACCACCATGGAAAACCTGGAAGAACTGTACGGCCGCTTCGTCCTATTGTGGGAATCAGCAGTGCGCACCCACGACCTATCAGTTTTGCGTGCGAGCGCTTAACCTCTAGACCACTGAGCCAGCATCCAACGGTGTTAACGTCTAACTTCAACCGATCCACGGAAATGAGCAACCATTCACCAATGTCTTCAGTGAGTTGCTATCTCACAACAGACCTAGTTGAACTCCACTGGTCACTGCTTCTCACTGCAACTCCAGGAAATACCTCATAAAGCCAGTTACTAGTGAGCACACGTTGGTTAAGCGCTCGCGCGCGAAACTGATAGGTCCTGAGTTCGAATCTCTCGAGGCGGGATCGTGGGTGCGCATTGCTGAGGTGTCCTACAATAGAACGAAACGGCCGTCCAGTTCTTCCTGGTTTTCCATGGTGGTCTAGCTTCAATTGATTCATGATCTTAACTATTAAAATTACTATAATATCCACAAAGCCCCTTCTGATATTCATAATAATGTTGAAACTATTTGTTAATTTACTTTCATATCGAAAGGTTTGTTTCGAATGTTTACTTTATCTGATACTTGTTAAGAATGTCGTTCTATGTTTACTCGTTTGGCTTTTGCCAACTTACGTCACCTATGGCGAAGGCAAGATATCCGTCTGTCAATTAAGGGACGAGTATACTGCGCAGCAGTTCGCTCTGTTCTACTTTACGGCTACGAAACATGACCATTAAGAGAAGATACTCGTAGGTTACTAGTATTTGACCACAGATGCCTTAGAAATATTGCTCGCACCGGGTAAGTAATAGTGAGGTTAGACGCAGGGTATTAGGGAATGATGGTAAATCAGTTGATGAGGTCATGAATCTTCATCGACTGAGATGGTTGGGCCACGTGTTACGTACACCTGAACACCGATTACCACGACGCGCAATGTTGACTAGTGTAGGGGATGGTTGGAAGAGAGTTAGGGGCGACCAAACCAAAACATGGCATCAGTGCTTGAAGTCACTAACTTCTAGTCTGAGCCATGTTGGTAAATGCAGACTACCTGGTTGGGGTCCGCGTGACTATCGCAACCAATGGTTGGAGACTCTAGGTGACATGGCTCAGAATCGATCACAATGGCGTAGGTGTAAACACTCTTTATCTTCCCTTAAACCTTGAGATTAAAATTGCTTCATAACTTTCTTTCTTCCTGTATTATATCCTTATATACAACCTATCTTTTATATATTACCGCCACTAAATTAACTACTTCTATGAATCCGGTGTTCATCTTGTTGTGCTAACGAGGTATGGCAACTTGGACCGATGCATATATGTGCCTGATCCTACGTTGTCGACTGACTGACATACAGTATTCACATGATATGATAACGTGGTATTTTCTTTTTGTCAATATCAATAATAATATATTTGCGGTATAGTTTATGAATTTACCAGGTTTTAATCAGCTTTGAATTTGATTTCCTTGTGAGAAATCACTACTGGGACTAATATAAAAATTTTAGTTCAGTAATTTTGATTTCATTTGAGTATCCACTAAACCTGACTGCAATCTAAACAGTGATGTGGTATGTAATTTCGATTCGTTATCATTGAATGTTATGTTTTATTGTATGGTCATTTATTGAAATACTATATTTAAAATAATGTCTATTTCATTGGTAAGTTTTGCCTGAAACTCGCAAACTCGAATCTCAACTTTATTTGATCGAAACTCAATTTAAAAAATCACGTGTGTTTAAATGTGCTCGAGATCATAGTTTTATTTTTTTTAAATGATTTAGTGTAGTTACATTTGTTTAAAATATGGATAAGTGTGGAAATAATAAAACTTGTAAATATTTATATAAACCCATACTATTATTTGTTTTTCATAGGCTGCTGTATTATATACTTCATCGAAAGGTGATCGTCGCATTCGTGTACATACTTTGTGCTTACCAGTTGTGCACACAGCAACTGAAGTGTTTCAAGGAGCAGATCAAGGTTCAATAGCTTGTCTTCTAAGTAAAATGGCTGTTGATCGGACGATATCTTGTGGTCTTTCAAACGCTAGAGAAGCTTTAGCGAATGCTGTAGCAGATGCTTTATCAGCATACGCTACCACTTCTGGTATTACACTTAGTAGTAACTCAACAGCTTACGGTCTACCTTGTCCACCGAATCTACGACTACTTCCTTTGTATATTTGTGGTTTGCTTCGTTTTAAAGCTTTCAGAGTTGGAGTAACGACACGTTTAGATGATAGATCAGCCGCTCTAGAGCGAATTAAAACTGCTCCTCCTACTGATTTATTAACTTTAATATATCCAAAGTTATATGCTGTACATCGCTTCGTTTCAAAACCTTTATCTTCTCATGCAACCCTTGCACAAAAAGCTGCTAGTCTTCGTTTAGTTGATCATGATGACGACCAACGTCCTTCTGATTGTGACGGAACATCCTCTTCAAATGGAAGTGAAAGTAATTCAGAAGCTGATCAGTTACCATGCCAATTACACTTGTCAGCTCAATATATTACACGATCTGGTGTATTTTTACTGGATACTGGTGAACTTTTATTACTATTAGTCGGCTGTGGTGAAGATGTTCCTCCAGGATCAAACAATGATTCGGACATTTTACGTCAACTTATTGGTATTTCATCACCACGTCAACTGCCTGCCCAAGGTGGTCCTTTCGTATTGCCACCCATTAATTTATCTAATGAAAAACGAAATACAATTACTAATGATAATACTTCTATTTCAATTGGCCGTCGTAGGTTATCTGCTCTAATAAACCTAATTCGAAGACGTCGACCAATTAATAATGCTTTAGTTCTCATGCGTCATGATTCATCGTCAAACCTTAGATCACTTTTCTTATCTTGTATGGTTGAGGACAAGACAGAATCAGCTCCATCATATCAGGAATTCCTTCAAATGATTCAGAATTTAGTCAGAACATAATTTTTAAAGTATGCTTATGTTATACTTTCTTTCCTTATGATAATATATCTTTAAGGCTTGATGATGATGTAAAAATGGAACGAAGTGGTTCATCGCTGTTTTTGGTGCCTTTATAGTTGAATAGTAGTGATAAATTAATCAGCTCATTCTTAAGTATAGTGTAATTTCTTCTTTTCATTGTTTCCTTGCTTTTTTTAAAAGAAAAAAGAACAAATCTTGTAATCAGATTGATCAATTTTAAAAGCGATATCAATATCATTATGATCCGTCATTAACAATTCAATTGTTTTACGAAATTTATTGATTATTTCACATTTATTCCCCCCCCACACTTTTTCCTTCCTTTTTTTCTGTACTGTTTGTTATTTTATTCATATCCTTTAAAAAATGTGAATAAGTCTTAAAATCTCCAACCGATTAGTTATGATAACAAAAAGAGAGTACTATATTTAAGAGTAATTTATAATTGATGAATTATTTATTTGTTTAACTAATCTATCAGTTATTACTATGCAAAGTTAAATTTAAGTATTCAACTTTTTTTTTCTTTACTAATAATATTTTTTTGAAAAAAACCCCATTTTTTTTCTTTACTACCATCATACTTAAAGAAGTTTAAGTAGATTTTTTTTTGTTCCTCTTAAATATTTCTTTCTTGAACTAGTTTTTGTTTTAACTTCCTGTTAGTGTTATGATTTAACATCTTTTATTTTAATTATCTCTCTTTGAACTTTATGAAGATCCATTTATTGTGTTATGGTGTAATAATTTAATACATGTGTTTTGTGTTGATAGTTTGTTTCGTGAAAGCGTACATACATAGGTACTGTTATGACTTGACCAAGCTTGTCGCCAATTGTTATGACTTTACAAGATAAAACAAGGATGTATCCTAATTCGTTGTTGAGTTTTATGTCTAGCTTTTATTACGTGAATTATCCCCAATGGAAATACGTCTTCCCCGACCTTAACACGGTGACAATCAAGGACGTCCAATCAGTATGAATAATCTCGCGTTCTTTTTGGTTCGTAATCCGCCTAGCCCGTCCACTTGGGTCCAGAACACCAATTGCAGCTGCTGTTATGCGAATCGTTTATTTCAAACATACTCGTTTTATATACCATATAGACAGGCCACATCACACCATAAAATAGAAAATAATATTTGTACAAAATCAAGCCAATGTGGCTGTGAGCGTGGGAGACAAGAACCAATAAACAGTATAGTTTAGGAACAGTAAATCGTATAATAATAATCAATAGGTCAAAATGAAGCTTATAATGAGATGAATATAGATATACGTAATCTAGTTACTGAATAGTTATACAATAAGAATATATATATATATATACATAGAATAATCGTTCAGTAATAGGTCCTGGGAGTTACCCGTACTTATGTCTTCGCCAGGATATAACACGTACGTAGAAGTATCTTATATGATTGGTAACTATCCGTTATATACATATATTTATTCGCGTTGTTTGTTCATTTCTCCTGTTGACTGGATACTTAAATGTTAAGGATTAATTTGTTGGTTGTATGGGGTTTTGAACAGTTCACTACAATTATTAATTCATTCACATAGTCTGACTCACAAATTTGTGCATTGTTACTATGTAACACTTATTTTCTATTATTCTATGTGAATGCACTGAACGTCATTTTTCTTCGTGCTAGCAAGATATTTCAAGTTATAATCAATATGACAGTGTTAGTTGACAATTCTGTAACACGATAACCCAGATTAACTGTATATTCAGTTCATATAAATGCTAAGATTATGGTCAGCTTAGAATTTTTCGCTCGAAAACTAATCATCATGGTTGTCATCGGTATAAGTAAATAGTGATTTGAAAAGTCAAACCAGTAATCATACGATTTTAGGCCTGTTGTTTTCGTTGAATGACAACGTCTGAATTCAAACAGACTTGGCACTTTTATTTTTGTCCTTTAATTAAATAGTGAAAATCGAAAAGATCTAACGATAGCAGTAACGGTGTAACAAAAAGGTGTAAAATAGCATTGTGTCAACAACATTGTGGTGGATAAAGAATGAATAAATCCATGTCAGATAAACCCGGTGTGATTCATATAAACAAGTGTTTAGTCATAGAATATAGTTATTTTGCCGTTGAAAACCAAAAGTCGGCAGTTGTTGTTTGCTGTCATGTTTTATTCTGACTAGCTTTAATCGTTCCAGAACCTAAACCTGTGTCAAGTAGAATACCGTTCTAAGGGGTGTAAGCAAAGAATATTTCGGCCATCCAACTTCACGATAGTTTATGAATCAACTTGTCACATTTACTTGGTAACTGAAGCCAAATCAAGGTCACTACTGAAAATCATCGAATCTATGCATGGTTCAATAACGCTTACTGATTTCAAAACTGAACAGAAAACATTTATTTTTCCAAGGTAAAAATAATCGATAGAATTTCATAAGTTTTCTCTGGAATTTTAGCTCTTAAAAGGATTACTGAACTGGCTAGTATCAGTCATTTAAATTGTAGACTTATTATTTAATGTAAGTATAACAACTATTGAGAAAAAATTACTTCACCTTAAAATATTCACCTGATTAAATGTACTAATTCAAGTTCAAGGTCGCATTGAGGGAATTTACAATACATCTCTGTTATGTGGAAAGTTTTCCACTAATATGCCTTCCGGAAAAATGGCTTAATTAGTGCTGTTGTATAGTAGTATATAGTTCTGATAAGACCTCATAAATTCTTAAGATGTCATCCTCAGAAACTTAGTTCTATAAGCAGAGATGGGTGGTAGCTAGCAGTGGAGTCGAGGACGTGCATTTCGTCCCATTTGGGTTTCGTAGGATGGGTGTACCTGCATCCCAGAGTTGATGTTCACCCCCGGGACTTGAGCCCTGCACCGTCCTGAAACACCATCGTTTTATCCACTTAGCTACAGAGTCCTGATAGCCACTAGCTTGTGCAGTGGGGTGAAGTCTACATTTTATGTTGTTTGTTTGAATCTTCCCATTGATGTTTGAAAATGCAGTTGATCAGTCTCTTATTACCATATGTACATCCTGTGAGAAATGCCTCGATATAAATTCTTCAATATGATAATAATGAGAATAAGCTAAGATCTTCTTATATTGCTTGTGACTTAAGGCAATATCGGGGCAATCCGCATAGGATGCACATACGGCAATAAGAGACTGATCAATTACAGTCCTAAAAATCAATGCGAAGACCCAAACAAACAATACCAAATGGACTTCTATATAATTTTGTGTTATTCAAAACAACTGCATAATGATTTATCAATGGAAGTTACTAATATTCTTAAACTTAATAAATATGAAGCTTTTTTGAATGAGTTAAAAAGCATCAACTCCATCATCATCATAGGTATGCCTTGCTGGCAATCGCCAGATAGGATGAAACCTAGGTTCGGGTTTTTCTGCCGATTGCCCTTAACCATTGAATATTGAAAGAAATGTATTACCTACTACAAAACCATGTTATTCAACTTAATATGGAGTAGGAGTGGATATCATTTGTCAATATACGTCTCAACTAATCGCGAGCGAAAATAAAATGCTCAATAATACCATGATTTCAGTGAGTCATTAACCATATTAATTTTGATAGACAGTAGTAAAAATTATTTCTGTTGAAATTACCCTCAGGTCGAAACAGGTTAAATTGGTTGGTCTGCCAGTTATGATTAAAAAGCATAAAGGAGATATGTCTACTTTATCGATTTTTTGAAACGAATTAATTTAATATGATTGATTTAATTGTGTAATCTTTGAATTTTGATCTCTGAAACTCGTTTTTTTTCAGTGTAAGCTTTTTTCATTTGACTTGACTGTTTAAATTAATAAAACAGTGGTTTATTCATAAAATAATCCTGTCTACTGCTATGAAAGTTTCTTATGGAGATTAATTCAATGTTTCAGGTATTTGGTGATATTTTAGAGCCTGAAATATTTGTGCATCCGTCCAAGTTGCCACATCATACGAGCACACTAGTCTAAAATTGCTCAAGTACTGGAAGTATCAGTGATTGTATAATTAATTTAGACATGTAATATTATTCGACAACAAAAAATTGGTTTGTGAAATAAAGGGTAATGAAATGATTTTAAAATCCTAAATCTAGAATAATATAACGAGTGATAGCATCAAGGCTATTGGGGTGGGGGCTGAGCTATATAATTCAGGGTGGTTATGAGACCCCTATGATCAAAAACTGGCTTTTTACGAATGTATTCTACCTTCGTAGACCAGGTTTCAAAGTCACAGAGTAGAATACTGCTCCAACATCGTAAGCTTACAATAGCCAGGCTGGATTTATGGATCTGTGCCGAGATTTCGTCGACCACCAATCAACTAAGGCTGATGAGGTTTACTACAAAAGGGAATTGGTCGACGAACTCCCGCTACTTCAATGCTTATGATCGATCTAGGTATTGAAGTGCACCAGTCTTGTAGCTGATACTTGTCACAGTGACTTCTGTTGAGGGGACATTAAAACCAAGGAACTCCAGACATCTTAGCCTATTATAAGATTCCGGAAAAGTGCTCATCTATTTATTCCACTAGATTTTTATACAACAGTATAGATATGTGCTAATTAGAGGCTTGCTTCAAGATAATTTCCTAGTTGAAGGTTGTGGCTGGTGGAGTTCAGCCGTGTTAGGAGTAAAGCAATAATCACCAATAATGACAGGAAGGTGCGCAACAGAAACAATCCAAAAAAATATATTTGGTTTGCCTTTTTCGTATAGATCACTTCATTTCTAGATGTTCCACTATTCCTCATCCGGTTGTGACTGAAATCGTTTCATAATAAATGAAAACGCTTATAGTGTCAGTGAAACAAATGTGGGTTTGATAGAATGAAAATGTCTCAGGAAAATGTCTTTATTAACCCAGTAAATATAATTCTATTTCAGAGCACATTCAAATTCGGAAATGATGATGAACATTATGAACTACCATTTTTAAACTGTTTAGCTAGAAGAAATTTAACTGGAACTCTATATCTTACGTAGACCGATACATTCAAATTAGTATTAAGACTTTATTTTTACACATCCTTTCAGTACAAACTTTCTTTGAGTTTTAATATATTCTAAAAAGTTATCAAATTTAACAGTAGATTGGACGGTTTGTTGTTGGATAAAAGTTGAATTGTAGATTGTGATCATAGTTTTACTTTATCGTCATGAGATCTGTAACAAATCTTAAAACTATACAAAACTGAAGTATTCCATAAAATAACCAACCCTTCGAAATGCTTGAATAGATTAAAAGTGTGAAGATTTTTAATGTAGTCTATCTATCATTATTCACATTTTCCGTTTAAATTGTACAATCGTTATCATTAACAAAATTATTTACAGAATAATTATGTTAAACACTACACATTTATTAACGATCCACAGAACGTCGTCTACAGATTAAGTCGCCTATTTTGATGTCTTTTATATTGAGCGGTCTTCTTGCGAAATCTTAGCTCCTCTCGATAACCTTGTAAAAATTCCACAGCATTTTAGAATCTATTGATCATATCAGCAATAGCACTAGATGCTATTTTTAACCATTCAGTTGAAGAAGACATAGCTGTCTAACCGATCTGCACCATTTTCCAAAATAGTTACATTTAATGTGCTTAAATCCACTGTTAATAAGCAAATTTGTATTTACTTGTATGATACATATCTTTTTCACACTCACTCAGATACACGTGAATATACAAAAACATTTATTTTATCGAATCATTTTTGATCAGAATGACATGTTTTTGCGTGACTAAA